ACGTTACGTTTACGTTTACGTTTACGTTTAGTTTAGTTACTTTATTTACTTTACTTTACTTTTACTTTTTTCTTACTTCGTTACTTATTATCTCTCTCTCTCTCTCTCTCTCTCTCTCTCTCTCTCTCTCTCTCTCTCTCTCTCTCTCTCTCTCTCTCTCACACGCACACACACACACACACACACACACACACACATATATTATAAGCAGCTTATGCTATCCTTTCATTTGCTCAGTTTTTATGTGTATGTGTGCATGTAGTTTGATCCTAGCAAAAATGTTTGTGTGTGTGTGTGTTGGACTCTCTTGGGGGACCATGAAAACTGATTTTTTGCCATGACATCCACCACTTTTGTGTGGGGTAAGGGATACGAGATGCTTGAAATCAGTCCCCACTCCAAAATAGTCTCCCTAAAATTTGATTTTGACCTCCTAAAATGCTTCATATCCTTCACTGCCCCAAAAATTGATGTGGACCATTTATCTGAATGGGAATGGATTTAGGGGATTTGGAGCTTCAAATTGAATCTTTTATTGGCTCCTACCCAACCAATACTGATGTATAAAGTGGTTGAACACCAGTTGTTTGTTGGTATGCCTTCATACAAATTTCAATGCGTGGGGGACCTAGAAAAGCTCCAAATCAGTCTCCACTCCAAAATCAGTATCCTCCAAGAAAGCTTTGATTTTGAGCTCCATAAATGCTCTAAATCCACCGCCATCCATCAAATATGGAATCTGGATTTTCCATTTGAACTGTTGGTGGATTTGGGAGATGTGGAACTTCTGGAAAAACCCAAGTCAAATCTTTATGGTCCTTCGTAGGGATGGATGGGCTAGGGGAACACCAACTATGGTTCTCCGCAAGGACCACCAAAAACTGTCCATGCACATGAGAACTATTAAGTCATCATTGGCTGAATACCGATGTACTTATAATCCTAAAGACATCAATATAGTAATAAAGTTAGTGGGCGAGGGGATAAAATTGCTCTTTCTTTGATACATCTTCCAAAACCATAGCTATGCATGTTGTGTTAAGACACCATGCCAACCATGACACACGTTGTATGAGCTTGCCCTTTTGAGCCTTCCTTGGACTCCTCATTTTAATTGCTTTATTGTGGTTGTTTAGCCTTAGCTTGTTCTGGTAATAGAATGAGCAGCCGTCATGCAGCATATTGTTCTCTTGTAGAAGAGAAATGGCTACATATTATGGGTTTGTATACTATGTTATCATAGGGTTTTCCTAACACCTCCAGAGTGATCTGGTATCAACGGTGGACAGGTTGGGTGTGTCGCTCCTAGGTGTGGTAACTGGCTTGGGTCATCCTGCCTACCCTAGCTGGGTCCTGGTCTAGACCTGGCTATTGGGCCCGATGGGTCA